TCTGCATCTCGCGTGTGTCTCGGTTGTGTTATCATCGCTCTGCAGACTCACACAGTAATGAGCTCCTGAAAGCGATGGCTGACACACTGAGAAGAATCACGTCTCAAGTTGGCCTAGTTTAAATTTATTTTGATGTCTCCTGAATTTGATAATGCTTGTGGTTGTAAATATTTTCAGCTGCTGCAGTTGAAACACCTGTTTAGTATCGAGTTACGATGAAAACCATTTTTGGCTATTTTGCCAGAGCCGTGAGATCGGTGATCTTCATTGAATGTGTTTTTCACCACAGTGGCTCAAGTCAAGATTTTATGCCAATTCTATCAGGTGTTTGCAAAGATGTCATCAGTTTGACCCACGCTGTTCTTTATACTGTTCCCCTGTACTGTTATTGTCTTTTTCTTTCTCCTCAGTATCGACAAGGTGTCCAAGGTGGCGTCCCCGGTGCTTGTAATTCATGGCACAGAGGACGAGGTCATCGACTTCTCCCACGGCTTGGCGATGTATGAGCGCTGTCCCCGTGCGGTCGAGCCTCTTTGGGTGGAGGGAGCCGGCCACAATGACATTGAGCTATATGCTCAGTACCTGGAGAGGCTCAAACAGTTCATCTCTTTCGAGCTTTCCACTTCTTGAGGACCTTTGACTTCGGGCCCGGGTTCATTTCAAGACACTCAAGAATTATCCTCATCGTTTCCTCTGGAGGGAATATGGAGTTCTTCAAGACCTGCTGGTGCTCCTACGAGACACAACAAGCTGCTTTGCTAATGAGCCCGGGCCTCGACAGTGTTTCTAACTGCTGCTCAGTCTTGATTCATTATCCACTCCAAATCTTTGCTTCCTTCCCACTCTCTACTTATTCTATCTCCTTCTATCTTTTGTATGTCACACTTTCATATCCTTCATCCTGTTTGGTCCTCGAGTCCCCTTCTTTTCTTTTGACTGAGTATTTGCAATGTTGAGTTTTGTATTCTTTTATACAAGGTAAAGAAGTATCAGTTTTGCACCTGAAGATACTGTGGATGAAGATTTTCCTTTCTTTAACTTTACCATTCAGGGTTGATTACAGGGTTGCACTGTAATGTTGCATTTTCTTAGCTGACATTTCATTATGTTTTTATTTGAAGTAAAACTGTGATTTTTTTTCCTCTCATATTTCTTTTGCTGGCCAGACTGCATCCCAGCTTGTTTAGGCTCTGTGCTCTCTGTGATGCACGCTGCTCTCTCATGTAGGGAGATGATGATGGCAAACTTCAACTGGCACGTTCCACATCTACAGCAGTTTGCTCCTTTAGATGTTGTACAAATTTCAAGCAGAGAGGTTTGAAATGCATTGTGGTGAGAGGATCGTGTGCACCAGCTGGCCTCACCAGTTAATCATTGATCATCTCATCACAATGCAGTGTTTCACTGGGAGACCTTTGGTCCTGCAATACATATTTTACCTTGAGACACGGCACAGCTCACTATGGCAGTGGCACTCCCCGATCACTACAGTCACAGCTGTTGTGCAGGTGTTCGTGTGTGGTTATAATGACTTGGTCACTCACACACAGCTGGTCTCAGTGGATATTACATAAGGATTGTGGGCAGCAAATTAAAGACGTGGCATCATTTTCTTAGGCTCTTTGATAACTCATAGAAGGTTGCAGGCAAACATGGCTTACTGTTTGAAATCCGTTTGTAGCCTCACCATAGCATTTAGCTTCAACCGTAAACATCAATAGTCTTCCTGCTGTTTGTTGCAAAACATTAAACATTTGCTAGTCTTAGTATGTGTGTGCACTTATAAAATTCACATTTGTAAACTTTGTAGTCACAGTTGTTTCCCTGTAATCTTACAGTCCTAATATTACTTGTGACCAGTGTTGGTCAAGTTACTTGAAAAAAGTAATCAGTAACTAATTACCGATTACTTCCC